CCCCAAAACCCCAAAACCCCAAAACCCCAAGGTTATGGATGTACTTTACTATTAAGAAATAACAAAAATTATTCAAATCAAAAAGTGAATTGAAAATTAAAAAAGATTATTTGCAAGTTATTAAATTATCTGAAATCATGGGAGCTTGTCAAAACCAATTAAGCACAGCTACTAACGAGGAGAAGTATAGGATTACGGTAATTAAAGCTAATATACTAAACTCCTTGAAATTATATAATCTAACTTTGATCATATTTAGGATGGATAAACTACATCATCCTTTCAGCTTCTCACCTCTTATAAAAATTTGCAGAGAAAAGAAACAAAATTGCCCATTATATAAGATTTGAAGATTTCTAAGTCACTCTTTGTAACAACGTTAGATCAGAAATTCTAAGATAATTACAGAATTGGAGCATTTCTTGGCTCAGGTAATCACTGCAAAAAATAATTAATCACAGTTTCAAAAGTTAATTTTATGTAGGAGGCTATGGAGAAGTAAGGAAATGTACTCATAGATCCTCAGGCTAAGAATGAGCTGTTAAGATTATCAACAAACTCAGATTGAATCCTAAGTAAATGCGCCAGTTCATCAATGAGATAGATATACTTAGGAAACTAGACCACCCAAATATTATTAAGCTCTATGAAATTTATGAGGACGGAGCGAACTTTTACTTAGTTCAAGAGTAAAATAGTCGATAAAAAAATTTATGATAATTATCTATAGATTAATCTCAGGAGGTGAATTGTTTGAAGAGCTTATCAGAAGACGAAGATTCGAGGAGAAAGATTCTGCCTAAATCATGTCCAAGATATTTTCAGCTATTTCATACTGCCACGAAAATAATGTGATTCACAGAGATTTGAAACCAGAAAATATCTTAATAGATTATATTAGCAACAATGAGATAGATGTAAAAGTGATTGACTTTGGTGCAAGTGTATTTCATGATCCAAAAAAACTCCATACTGAAAAATTTGGAACAGTCTATTATGTGGCCCCAGAAGTACTTGCAGGGAGATATGACTATAAATGTGACGTGTGGAGTCTGGGTGTAATACTATATGTGCTTTTATGTGGAGAAGCACCATTTGGTGGCAAAAATGATAATGAAATTTTAGCAAAGATTAAAATCGGGAATTTAGAATTTAAATGTAAGTAAGAATATTTATATTTAGCCCTTAATTATTTAGAGTAAATATGGACATAAAGAAGTTCAATGAGCAAAGATATAATTAGGATGCTGCTGAATTTTGATAAAGACCATAGAGTGAACTGCACTTAAGCTCTTGAGCATCCTTGGATCAAGTAAAAAATTCACTTAGAGTTATCAAAGACTCACCTTGACACTACTTTTTCAAATCTATAGAAATTTGTTGTAATCTTGAATGGTTGTTAATGATAATTATTTAGACATAAAATAAACTTCAAGAGGCAGCTCTAACATACATAGTATTTCAATTGACTTCCTAAGAGGAACAGGAAAGTTTGATCAAGTCTTTCAAGAAGTTTGATAAAAATGGGAATGGCACCATTTCAAAAGAAGAAATGATTTAGGGGTATCAAGAAATGTATGGATTTCATATGTCTTAGTTTGAGATCGAGTACGAAGTGGACATGATTTGGAATAGAATTGATCTTGATGGGAATGGGAAAATAGACTTTACTGAATGGGAGGTAGCTACTATTAATAAAAAGGATGCTCTGACTCATCGAAAACTAAAAAAGGCCTTTGATATGTTTGATCTGGATAGAAATGGAACAATAAGTGCCTTAGAGCTTAAGTAAGTTATGGGTTCTTTTGTCGGAGATTTAATTTCTGACAAGGTGTGGCAAGATATGATAAATGAAGTTGATAAAAACGGGAATGGTCTAATAGATTTCGAAGAATTCCAAAGCCTCATGTCAATTTTTCTGGTAAATGGTGGCTAGAGCAGATAATGAGAGCTTATAAACTAAAAACTAATGTCTGAAAACAAGTGTACATAGAATCTTGCATTTCAAATAATCTTAACAATTTTTAACGTCAATTTGTAAATTAAATTATCACTAAATATATCTTCGAATTCTAATCGAGCGGGGTTTTGGGGTTTTGGGGTTTTGGGG